ATACCGTCATTCGTATGAAAAAGTTAATGTAAAGAACAACAAATGTTATCTTTTTTATATCAAGAAATATTAGCATAGAATATGCAAATAAATACTTTCATCTTACTCTTTGTATATATTTTGAATAAAAGAAAGTTGTCTATATAAATGAATGTATTTTATCTCAATAATAAAGATTCCGAAATATTACCCTTTCAGAAATAAACAATCGAATGTAATTCAAATAAAAAATATTAAATTCAAGTTTTACAATTATCTTTTTTTTATTTTGTATGCATATGAATTGAATATTTTAGACGGACTACCAGTTTTACTTTTTTTCTTCAATCGTCGCACAACACGCACACATATGACATGCAGAATAAACACCTTTATCCTCAAGATGCATCATCTATTTATCTTTGTCTTAAGAAATATTGTCTATTTGTCTTTTTCTACATTTTATCTTTGTCTTATCATCATAGCATAATGAAAAAAAATAACATACGAACAAATTATATACTAACAGCAAGTGCATATTTCTATTTCTGTTGTTAATTGTTTACAATGATCGCTGATCCTGCTCTTGTATTTCCTGAGGACAATAGACCTACTCTTGTAATTCCTCAAGAGAATACTCCTATAGTTGTATTTCCTCAGGGATATACTCCTGCTCTTGTATTTCCTCAGGGGAGTACGCCTACTCATATACTTTATCCCACACGATTCTATGTTCTCGGTATATTTTCCTTTCTTGCTTTTAATCAATCTGCATTTTGGTTGACATTCTCCCCTGTCTCACCAAGTACTCAAATTTACTATAATATTCCATCATCCACCGTCGATCTTCTTCTTAATTGGGGACCTATTATATTTATCCCTTGTCTTCCACTGGTTTATCTTCTTCTCAATAAACAAAATGGACTTCGACGGGCTGTCATTGTCTTAGCTATCGGTGGCTTGGTATCTACTGCCCTACGTGTTATACCATCGATTGTTACATCTCCATCAAGTCCTCGTTTCAAAGATATTTCCCTTCCATTTCTTCATGCTGGTCAAATTATTAATGCTGCTTGTGGACCTATAGTAATGGCACCTGTTTCTCAACTATCATGTCTCTGGTTTGGTCCCGGTGAAAGAACACGAGCTACTACATTAGCTATTATGACAAACATTTTTGGTTCAACTGTTAGCTTTCTCATCAATCCTGCAATTGTCTCTCGTCCTTCAAATCTGCCCTATCTACTTTATTTTCATCTTGCTTTGGCATTCGTAGGTACAGTTATTACACTAATCTACTTTCCTGCTCAGCCACCCACTCCTCCGTCAGTTGCAGCTGAATTACTCATGCAAGAAGGCAAGCAAAGTTCAAATTCCGCATTTACAGACTTCATGAAAGGTCTTCGAGCATGTATGTCAAATTTATCATTTGTTTTACTTTCAACAGCTGGAGGCATCATGAATGGAACATTCGCAGTGTGGGCTGGATTATTTTCTTCAATTCTCTATCCTGAATATTCTGAAACACAAGCAGGTAAATCTAATATCTTTTTTTGATTTCATGTAAAGATATTATCCAATAATTTGTTTTTTCTTATAGGTTGGTTTGGTTTTTGTTCATCGCTTGCAGGCATTATTGGAGCTTTGTGTTTGGGTGCACTAGCCGATACTCCTCGATTTCGACGTAGACTTAAAATGCTTATTCTTATTTCTTTCATTGGCTGTTTTCTTTCGGTTCTTTGGTTGCAACTTTCTGTTCGTTCGATTTTTTATAACGCACCTATTCTTGGTTCTACACAAATCACTATTGGACTGTCACTTTTGCTTGCTGGTCTATTTCAAGGAGCAGTATCGCCGTTAATATACGAAGGTCTAGCTGAAATCATGTATCCGCTACCAGAATCTTTATCTGCTTCCATTCTTGTTCAATGGAATAATATTGCTTGTGTCTCCCTTCTTTTCATCGCTTCCAAACAATATATATTGATTAATTTACTTGTTCTTATCGTTATTGCAATATCTATTCTAATGATTATCTTCGCTCGAATAACATACCGACGACAAGACGAAGAAGAACAAAAGAAAAATAAAACAATTATTGGAATGGAAATGGACAGAAATGTTTCAACAATCGAATCCCATTCATAAATGAATTTATCTGTATTAATTTATATAAACTAGGAAGATCACAAGCAATGCATATCACTTTTTTGATCAATTATTTTTTTTACCTTTAGTGATATAAATTTATTATAACTATACGTTCTTTAATTTTATACTTAGTCTGAAATATTTGAGGAACTGCCATTATATTCAATGACACTAAATCTGGATCATTTCTCATAGTTCATGGTAAATAAATTGCTTCATTTCCGATAAGTATTGAATAATGTGCATTCGGTAGAATATCAATATTTATTCGATCTAATAATCGACCATTATTGATACGAACAGGAATAATGAAAATAGTTGACAAATGTTTTAATTGATCATTTGAAGATGATGATACAAGAATATAAATTATATTTGTTTCATCTTGAGACACAATTTGACTTTAACAACCGGTTGAATAGACAGAGCAGAACTCCCATATGTTTCATTCCATTGTCAAATTACATGAACATAACTACTTGCTAGGAAAACAGTCACTAGAATCAATTATATCTATCTATATGCGTATGTTCAAGGCAATTTAAAAATATTGAACCCCTAATTAATAAATATTCATTTTGTGTTATTTATAAATCTCCCAATGATATTCTGTATTAATTGAAAATATTCAGAGATTGATCGAATACATTGGTAATATTATGATAAAATCTCTGATCAAGAATATAATATATTTAGCATTCGGTTATGTTTTGACTTTTTCATAGCTATGTAAATAGTGAAGTTTTATTTAAAAATATAAGTAATATACATTGTAAAATTTCTACTAGCCTTAACTAAGTTCATTTAAAAGTAATTGTGCATGTTGAGATTTTAATGTAATATGAAGTTCAATTTCATCATTATTCAATGTTGGTAATATAAAAATCAAACCATCAAATATAATTAAAGGAATTCTAAATGCTTTCGCTTGACCTTGACCAAAATCACATTTATATAAAGGAAATTTTGACCAATTAGTAAACGATAAATCAATACCTCCCGATGGTTCCCATCCTAAATGAATTATTGATGATTGATGATGCTTATCGATAAAAGATAATGCTGATTGAATATACTCATATGTCATAAATTTTCGTTTTTCAATATTAACCCATTGAGCTAATTCATTAACAGTAAGATGATTTAAATTGGACATTAAAAATGAAAGACATACATAGAAACTACAATTACCAAAATAATTTTCATTAATATAAGGTAAGAATGTTCGTCCATTCATTGCCATCCCAACTTTAATTATTGTTTCAGAAGGTAGATTACGAATTTGACTAATTATTTTTGTTAACCATCCAGTAAGAATATCATTCGTAGAAAGATTTTTATTTGTTATTTCAAATTTATTAAATAAATATTCTTTTGTAAAACGTTTAACGATTGTATTTGTTGTTGAAATTAAATTTGATAAAGAATAACTAGGTTCATTAATACTCATTTCTGGATGATCAAATTTAATTGAAGATGAACATCTTAATTTCGATCGATTATGATCGAATAAAGGTGGATTTTTCTCTTTTAACCATAAAGAAAATCGTTGTCCTAATGAACTAAATCCATGACCATCAGAGAAATAATGATGACAACCAAATGCTAATATAGTTCCATCTTGAAAATCTATTTGATGAATAAAGATTAAAGGTGATATATCTGTTGGTATTATACCATACGGAAATAAATCTTCAATAGAACAATCATTATTAAGATATCTCGATGAGCTTTCATTTATTCTTGATTCATACGAAAAGATATTTCGTTCTTGTTCTACAATTCGTCCATCTAATAATGTATTTTCATCATAGATAATACATTGAAATGCTTGTGGACAATATAAATGAAGATATTCATTAAATAATTTTTCTAAATTATCAATATGATAATCATAAATAAGTAATGAACGAATATAAACATATGGCATAATAATATCACATAATGATAGACGATTTTTGTCTTCCGAATTTGATGGCATATTTTAATGGAATTGAAATTATGTGTATATTTTTTTTTCGTTTATGTTTCATATAGATGAGTCATAATATAATTGCCACATCATCGTTACCTTAGTCATAGATTGACACGAGAATCGTTTGCATTCGATTACTCACATATAATTGATTTCGATGAATCATAAAAAAATTTATTTGAATTTGATTTTTTACTTCTGAATTATGAATGTTTTAATTTCTTTTGTCTATAGCCATTCGAGAAAATAATTTAAATGTATCCTTTAATCAAACTGATGACTAAGTAAACTCTAGGTGTTTTCAAAAGTTTTTTTTTCTCAATCATTCTGCATACATTTGAAATACCACACAAAGATAACTGATCAAAACATGTAGTTAACATAAATTCGACACTGAAAAAGATATTTAAAATTATTATTTTGAATTATTATCAATTTTTAAATTAGTTCGTTGAAACAAATATTAGATACATGAATATACTCAATAATACTATTCTCTACGTACATGCAAAGTATCTATAGAAAGAGAGAGAGAGCAATGCGTGTATTTTTTCAAGGATAATTAGTAAAACAGATGTAAACATATTTTATGACAACACTAACCACCTGTCAATTCAAAAGAATAATACAAAGATGAGTAACCGCAGAAGAAAAATTATCTGTTTTCTAACCAACCAATCAAATAAATCATACGATACAAGTAATTGAGTCGATTATTTAAAAATAGGATAAAACATATGGACAATATAAAGAAAAAAAAACAAATATTGACAGTTCAATACAAAAGAAGATTTCGATTTTGTGGTATATAAATACAGAGATTTTTGTACGATTTTATTCACATTTGTTCTATTGTTAATCGTCGAGCAAACTTTCTTCTATCGTATTTATAATCATGGTTGACGCTGCTTTTCTTCAAGCTGATATCAATCGAGACAACAGATTAGATTTAAATGAATTTCGTAGTTTTGCTCAACAAAACAATTATAATGGTGGTAATGGTTTTACATCACATTCATCATCACACGAATCATCATCAATAGGAGGACCATCTGGTGGAGCTCATTACGAAGCTTCTTATAGAAGTGACGCTGATTCTGGTTTAGCAGGTGGTGTTAACGGTAGTTATAACAGCGCATCATCATCATACTCAACTAATAATACTGGATATGGTGCTGCTGGTTTAGTTAGTGGTGGTGATGCGGGATATGGTGTATCATCAACAGAATCTGTAAATTCAACTGCTGTTCAATCGTATGCAACAGATTCACGAGGATTATTTCAAGATAGTAATCCACAAATTATTCGTCGTCCAGCTCCTAATGGCCCATTAACTTATACACAAAATATTCGAGTACGATTTCTTCAACCACCACCAATTCCACCACCAGGCGTAAGTTGTTTTGTTTATTTATTAATCTTCTGTATTATTGTTATTTCTTTTTAGCCACTCATTATAAAAGAAGTGCGTCCACCTCAACCACCTCCACCACCAGCTCTTCGTATTCGTCAACAAGCTCCTCCATGTCCTCAACCACCTCCACTTGTCTTACGTGAACGACCACCAGTACCACCACAAAGTGTTGCTTCACAAACAGGTAAATTGCATTTCAGTTTTTTTCTTTCAATCTTATATTCGTTTTTAGTGATTCGTCGACTTGCTGCATTACCTGTTCCACCACGATCAACAATTATCGAACGCTTACCTGCTGCTCCAGCACGTCCTCGTGACATCATCATTGAACGTTGGGTACCTTATGGTGCAGCTGCAAAACGTCGTACTATTGTTCAACGTGCTGCAGCAGCTCAACAATATGCACAACCACGCAATGTTATTATTCAATATGATAATGTACAAGCTCGTATTGTTCGTCAATTTCAAAAATTAGGTGTACAACCTGAAAATCCTGCAGCATATGTTCAACGATATGGTGCTCAACTTCTTGATTCAGTAACACTTGTTCAACAAGCACGAGCAGCTGGTGTTACTGAAGATATTGTATGTTATCTTTATGTTCTCTTTTTCTTATTTTCTTTTCTTATTTATAGTCACCACCTGTTGTTGCTGGTTCATTTGCTGCTACTGAAGGTCAATTTTCATCAACTGGTGGTGCTACTGGTGCTGGTGGTCTTACTGGACAAGGTTATGGTGGTATTGCTGGTGAAATGAATTTTGAAGCTACGGCTGGTGGTGTTGGATCACGTGCAAATATTGCTCATTCAGCGTATGAAGCTCATGGTGGTGGTGTAGTTGGAATTGATTCACCTGCAGCTTTTAGCAGTCATGTTGGTGGTGCCGGTGAAGGACCAACTGGTTTTGGAGCTGCTCCTGTACTTTCATCAGCTTTTAGTGGTTTTGGAGAATCTGTATCAACCTATGGTGCTGGTTCAAATGTCGGACCAGGTTCAGGTTTTGCCCCATCAACTCTTTTCAATGCTGCTGATGCTAATCATGATGGTGTTCTCTCACAGAGAGAATTCAATGCTGCTGGTTATTAAATTAGTAAGAAACGATTTCTTTTTTATTTATTTTTCTAAAATATTCTGTATTTTTAGGACCATCAATAAATTAGAAGTAGCAATTTAAAACAGAAGTATTTTATGGATTTTTTAAAAATACAATGAATATTGTATTTTTCGTTATTATTAGTTATTTTTAATTTTACTTCTAAATAAATATATTGTTTTATTCGATCTGATACTATAGTAATACTCAAAATTCATCAAAGAGAATACCGTTTTTATGATAAAATCGAAGTTTTGAATTTTGCTCATACAAATAACTCGATCAGGATTATTTTGTCGACTAAGTTTCAGAATTGATTTTATAAACGTCTGTTTATATAGATAACATATTTTTATTCGAATTTCAAAGATTCTCTAATAACTCGAAGATTTGATTATGAGATTCATCAAAGGAAAACCGATTAAATTATAATAGATTCATGCGAAAAGCGATCAAGTTGATTATCGATAGAATGAAGGAATATCAATTATGAGTTTCATTCTAAACAGCTGGAAATTAATTGTGTATTTTCGCTCATATGAATTCAGTAAAATCTAACAACGTTTTGAAAATGAAATGAAAGATTTTCTATTTAACTAAGTATTGATTTTGTATCGTTAGACCACCAAATGAAGAGTGTAGGTATTAATGATGATTACAAGGAAGGAAAGAAAAAAACGTGCGCGTCGATATTTTTGTCAATCCGTAATGTATACAATCGAACAATAGCGTAGTCTAAATGCTTCGTTGTCAGATTAATTATCGTTTTTTTATTGAGGTAAAGAGACGAAGAGCGATGCATCGATAATCACTGCTGTAAAAAATATATAAAATAGTATTTTTCTCGATGTTTTATTCATGTAGTCTTATTCGTTTACATACTCGGCTGATTTTTTTATTTATTCTTTATCGGCTTTACTTATCATTGGATACTATTTAACTGTAAGTGATATTATACTATTTGATTGTGGTTTAAAGAATATAGATGATAGCTTTAAATATTAGAACTTCTTCTACAGATGAAAAGTACGCTTCTGAATATTTTTTTCGTCACTCTTACGACTATACAAAAATATTTTATATTCTTGAATATTTTGTTTTCGAATATCTTATCATAGATATGATAATATTGTTCATAAACGTATGATGAATGAAAATGAAAGAACTTTTTGTCATGTAGCGCAGAAAAGAACAGATATAGATATTAGGAACTAGGAGATGCTCCGAAATAATGTTCAGTTTATTTGCTTTTCATACCAGTTATTCGAGTTACTTTTTAAGATACTAACATCACGTGTGGGTAGAACTATTCTCTCGTTCCACACCCATACGTTACAATTTTTTGTATTCATTGATGTTGATACAAGATTGTTTTAGATTATTCTCTTTTAAAATTTTCAACGGAGGCTGGGTATTCGCTACATTTAACTATATGGCAAATCAAAAAGGTAAATATTAATTCTTGTTTTTCTTTTTTTTCAATGAGCTGTAGAATATGGTAGTTTATTTCGTCGACTGAGAGGAAGGTGATACGAAAATGCGTTTGTAAGTTTGCTTTTCTATGCCAGCGTAAGGGTGTGGATATGGGTGAGTTTGGCATCTATTATTTTAATTCACATTCTCAATAATTATCATATATTTTTGATTTTTATAATATATTAAAACATTCTTTAGATGATGTCAATGATTTAAACTTAAATGTTATGAGTAAAGGTAATGAAACTATATTTTTTTATACAAAATAAAACAATAAAAAATATTATTTTCCATTTTCAAAGAAACAACAAGTTTAGGTAAGTTGATATTTTTATATTTAAATTTCTTTTATAGATTGATTGTGTGCATTTTCAATCTTAGAAATATTAAACCATAAAAACGAAGAAATAAATGATGATAATGATAAATATGCAGTTGAAGAGGTAGAATCCGATTCCAATACAAAAGATTTGTCAAATATCGAACAATTAATATGTGCACCCGATTCTGAAAATATCAATCATCGAATACATGCAGAAGAAGTTTCAACAGATCAGTATGATGCTTTATTACATCCACCCGATGGATCTACTAATCTTATTGATGAGACAAATGGCACTCATACAGACAGTGTTGATCAATATCAGTAAGCAAACTGAAGAAATATATTATGTATTTATAGAAATCAGGCGAGGTTTTTGAATTAAGGCATGAAGAAAACGATCATCATATCTCTAATGATGTATAGATTATATTTAAAAATACTCGACTTTTTATTTTTAAACATAATTGAATAATAATTCTATATATATTTTTTTATTAGATGTATTAAAACACGACTACCTGAAGATTGTCATTTCCCTGATAGTGTATTCAAGTAAGTATAATTTTACTAGATAATAAATAAGCAATCAGTTTATTATTATTCTTAATTAATTTTGATCTTTCTTGAAGATTGATTCGTGGTCAAAATCAACAAGAAGTGATCAATATTCTTTTAAAAGTTGAAGAGGAAAAAGAGAAGATTTGGTCAGGTATAGATAAAAAATATACAAATATACCGATAACAAAACGAATATCGTCAAAAATGTATAGAGAGTTCAAGAAAGCATATAATTGGTATTGTATGTACTATAGAACTTTATAAAATTCTTTGACTCATTTAATCTATCTTTTTTTGTAGTATCTAAAGAATATTCGACACAAGCAAAATCGGTGCATGATGCACAAACAATATTAGGAAATTTATCATCTGGTATTCTTATTCTTAACAAGAACAATCAGGTAAAGAAATAATTATTGAATGTGTCAGTAATTTTTATTACCCAAGTAAAACTTTGATTTATCGATAGTGGAATAGTTTCTATATTGTACTGTATTAAATATATATTCAGATATTGGGAGTACAAAATCATTATGGAACTTGGAGTGCTCCGAAAGGTCATCCAAAAATCAAGGATGATGGTACATTAGAAATTCCATTGGAAACAATATTGCGGGAGTTATTTGAAGAGCTTTTCATTGAATTTGAAGAAGATAAAACTCAAATAACAATTAACAAAAATAATATTGATCAGCATCTTGATTTAAACAAAGATAACTTTCTCGGATGTGGTTTTAATAGTAGAACAGACATTGATGATGGAATACGACATATTGGTCTTTTAGCTGTTCGTGCCGATGAAAAGAAATGGAAGTTTAGTTTAAAGGATAACAAAGAAAATAAGGTAATTATAAATACTTTTTTTCACTTTTAAACTATTAAAAGCATTATTATTGTTCTGCTTTAGGATTGGGCATGGTTAAATATCGATGATATTATTCGTCATCGGCCTGGAAACAGACACGACAAATACCATACGCTACGTCCGTTCGCTCAGTAAGTTGAACGTTTATTTTCAAAGAACGAAAACAAAAGAGATTATATATATCTTTTATTTAGATATTTAAAAAACAATCCAATGTTTTAACACAAGAAATCTTCTTTTTAAAGGAAAATAATAATTCATCATAACGAAATATTTCTAATTTTCCTTCAATATTTAATATTCGATAAATAAAATTTATATAATATCAAAAAATCATTCTTCACATATAATTTTTCTGATTCATTTTATTAATCTTTGTGGAATTGATGTTTTTTTCTGTTCCTTTCTACCGGTTTAGGTCTCTTACACCTTTGTTTTGTCTTTCATGTCGAATCGTTTATCATATTTTCTATTCTGTGTTTTTTTTTCTTTCTCTTTCATATTCTCATGTAGCGTCAGGATCGAATGATCGTAGTTTTTTTTACAAATAAAAAAAAAACTTCACATATGAAGTCAAAAGATAATGTTGAGAGTGTGGGTGTGAGCGCGCGTGGATGTGGGTGGTGTTTGTGTGGATGTATGTGTTAATTACAAAAAAATATAATATTCACAATCACACCCGCCCACATCGACTCACACCCTTTCATAAAAGATCATACTTATTTTATTTTATTTGCGCTTAAATTTTCTGTGTTTAACTAATTAAACTTTAATCAAATAGATAAAAATAAAAATGCCAAAATTAACATTGATAGTAGAATTAAATAATATTTGTTTTTCTAATTTGCAAGGACTCTATTTGAAACTCATGTTTAATAAGTATAGTATATTTGTGCTCATTATTATAGTCAATTTTATGCAGATAATATTATGAATTTGTGTAGATTCATGCTCGTTGTTTCATTAACTTTGGATACTGAACCTTGCGATAGTAATTATAATCGACGGATCGGTTTTGCATCATTTTCTGTCGATCATTGTTCTTTGTATCACTAATGCCGGCTATTCATTTTCAGCCCACACATGGCCTAGTCGTTTTTCGAATGCGTCAGGTTATTTTTGCATTTGACCGATAGAATAAAAATTGAGCCAATACAATCAATGATGACGAGTCCATAATAAACTACATTGTTTTAACAGGCTATAAAAGAAAATAAGATATATTTCATTTCATTTACTTGACGACGATTAGTATCATTATGGATCTACACTACTATGTTATTCAACCACTTATCTCATCGATTAAGACGGGCAATATTTGTCATGATTGTTTACTTATTATTCTTGCTCTTTTTTGTTTAACATTCATCAGCAAGGTTTCTGCCTATGCAATGGAGATATTACAACATCGTATGAGAGCTGTGTCTTTGCGTCCACTTACAGCTAGTTACACGATTGATGTTGTTGTTAACACTTTGGAATCGGAATATACAACATTTCGTATGCAGGTACATAACAGAAGCTTTGAATTCGAAACAACATATACCATTTGTCTGATCTGTTAACAGAGAACTAATGAGCTCAGTCAAACGACAGATATATATTCTCAATTTCTTTTTTGTCATATTTTACTGTAGGTACCGGAAGAATATCTGGGTATTGTTCATCACATTCACACATCTGACATTAATATTCGTTCGGCCAGACAAATTCCTTCACAAAGTGTAAAATCGACTGCTCATCTTGATGAACTCGTTAATTATTTCATT